TTACTTGCTCATTAATGATTATTTTATAGACAAAAATGAGTATAAAGGCTATATGGTTAAAGTATCTAACATAGAGTAACTTATTTATTTTCAGCCAGTCTTCTCGCCACTTCTTGTATTCTGCGTTTCGCGGCGCCGGTAGCTTCCAGATTCCTTTACTTCTCCTACGCGTTCCACAGCCAAATACTGAACAATTTTCACCTGGCATTATGTCCACTGACTTGATTAATGTTTTTAGCTATATTTTGAAGGTAAGATGTCGCTCGATCACGGAGAAAATCCAAATACTTAAACGCTACGTGACTGTCGAAACAAGCCCGCGGTGCCATTGTGGATTTATGTGTGCAGGGTCATTGTCACGTGACCTCGATAAAATCGAACAATAACCTATCCGACTGAAGTTTGCCGCGTTTCCTAACCAGTCCCCTCTACTAACTATGTTTCGGGAAATTGGGGAAGAACTGCACCTTTCACTTTGGAAGATTTTAAATCCACCTGGTTCTTAAAAAAAAAAACCTAATGATATTTCTGAGCTGGTAAAAAGCCCAGATTTAAAATTTTTTCCTGCACTTGAATTAATGATTATCATGTTCAATGTTTGCACTGACTCAGCTCGGAAAACGTTTTATATACGCATGCAAGGTGAAAGCAAGGAAAGGGAAATTTTCCTAAGATATCTTTCTCCGGTTTACTTAATGGCAATTGATGTGCCTTGTCTGCCAAACTACTTTTACCCCAGAAATCTGCCCATATGTTAAAGGTTCTCTTTTAATATTGCGTTGCGTGATCTGTCATTTGATATCCGTAATACACCGGGTCACAAGGAAGGTTCTCAAGGTTTTGGGTAGGATGGGAAGGGTCATGAGTTTTTAAGTCAAAGAGATTTTCTGTGAACAGAAACTTGAGAAAAACAATTAAACGGGAATTGATAATAACTGGTATTATCATACATTAGACTTACAATGAAAAATCAGTTTGGTCGAGAGCATTCAATCAACAAACGATAGCGTGTGGAGTTTATATGATAAATACAATACTTGCGGCGGATTTTGCGTTTCTTGTGTCGAGTTTAAAGTCAAATTTTTACAAACATGAAGAGAAGCGATTTTGCGGATTGTTTAAAAATTAATGATAAACAATTATTTAATTCGGTTTTCGCATGATATTTTGAGTAGGAATTATTAAACCTCCTGTCTTTAATATCTGCCTCAGCCTTCGGTTTCGGCAAATAACTCAGAACTCGGTCTTGATGATTCATGATATCATGCTTAACCTCATCCAATTGTTGTATATTATCAGTAAATAAGGCCTGTTCGCTAAAAATAAATATACGGGAAAAATATCAAGCTCACAGTGGAAAGTCTCAAAATGAGACTTACCACCTTCCAAATTTTCGATCACTACTGTTGATTATAAATCTCCAACCTTTGAGAATGTTGGATACTACATTGTTGTCTGCAAGATAGATTGGACGCATTTCAAAAACTTGGTAAAACCTTTTATACCCAAATTCCCGCCTAATATGCCCACACAGTTGGTGGGGGATGCTAGTATAAGGGGAGATTGTGTCATTTTTCGAACTGGATTATGATCGTGATATACATTATCCCTTGGCCTGTTTATGAAAGACAGTTGTGAAAACTGAATTTGTCACGAAAGCGTGACAAATAAAATAACTTGAGTCCCAGGCTCGGATTACTGGTCGCTGTTCAGGAAATGAGCCCTGTTCGAAGCGAAGAAGAGGAGAAAAGTTCCATCTGGCGCAAATATCGTGCCTATATGACGATCCGAGCCTCAGACTTAGCGATTTTGATTTTTACATAGAAATATATTTCAATTTTTTGCCCTTAGAGTGGTTCTAGCCAAGAGACTCACTACACTTATGTGGATAACACAGAAACAAAAAGGCGCGAGGCAGAGGAGATAGAGGCAAGACGGCTGGAGAATGAACGAAAGCAACGCGAGAACGAAGAAAGGTTGCGGATAGCGGAAGAAAAGGCGGAAGAACAGAGGAGACGACGAGAGCAACTCAAGGAACAACGGCAGAAAGAAGTAGAAGAAGAAGAAGCCAGAAGACAAGCAGAAGAACAGAAACGTTTGGAACTGGAGGCCGAACTTTGCCGACGCCGAGATCAGTTGTTCAATTACAAGTTTGGTGACAAGACCAGGCTTGATAATTTTATGGGGCTAAACATTGATGATGTAAC